CGTCAAGTTTTTATAAATCGTGTAGAAAGTTTTAAATTTTTACTTAAAAGTGTTTGGCTAGTGATCTATAATTTTATAAAAAAAAAATAATAATTGTCAAATAAACAAAACAAAAATAGCATAAACGTGTTAAAATGTCAAGTCTCTATTTATTTGCCCGCCACCGTACATATATACATACATATGTATGTGCCTACGTATGCACGCCGTCATAAATTTGGAAAAAATTTAACATTTTAACGGATTCCCGATTTATCTGCGTGAATAACATATGTATATACATACATATTTAGCTTTGCGGTCAACACTCATTTCCTTAATACCAAAGCTGCAAATGTACGATTGGTTGACCATATTAGTGATTTGAAAAAGGCTTGGCTAAAACCAAAAGTAAAGAAAAATTTAAATCGTTGGTGAAGACAAAACATTCATTTCGTATGCCCTACGCAAACATAGCAAAAGAAGCAGCAAATAGAAACATACATACTTGTGACACTGCGTTGATTTGCTTGACAATGTGACTGACTGTCACCTCTTGCCACAATTTAATTTGTTTCCATTAACGCGGCGCTTCATTTTGACCACAAAATATCAAACAAGCAACCAACAGGCGAACACGCAGTTCGATTGACAACAGGCGCGAGCCGTTGACTATTCGGCTGAGCGGCTCGCGATATACAGTTATGTGAAAAACAATAGGCACACGACATGTTGCCCAATTGTGGCTGTTTTTCTTTTGTTTGCTTAATGTCAATTATTTCTTTTAGGTCATTCCATGTAAAAGAGGAAACCGACATAAATTTTAAAATTTTTCTTATTATCTCTATATCTCTTTTTAAATAACTACATTTCGTTAACCAGTTGAAGGATATGAAAAAAATAAAAATAAAACGAAGTTATAATTTTTGTCTACGGAAACTTTTACTTCATTCATAACTACTTTACAGCAGTCACAAGGACATGTTCCGCCAGTCACAAATTTAAATATTTGTCAATATGTTCCTATGAAGTTTATATCAGCCTAATTTTTATTGAATGCGAAAGCGCATAGCTCGCATTTTACAACACAAAAACATTTTTCGCGAAATTTATGTTTTTTGGTCAAAATTCTTCTTTGTGTCACAATCACATTCATTCAGATGATAGTTACATATAACTAAGAAATAGTTTCGTATTTTTTCAAAAAGGGAATTTTATCCATTTTTTTACATAGAACTATAACCTATGTCAAAAAATATGTTTCGCTGTTGTTCCGATGACATAGTTATAATCCACAATTCAACACATTCTGTAGTAAAATGTCCCATCAGTCACAATGGAATGGCCGTTTTTTTTAAATACAACTCATTATATAACAAAAAACATTACAAAATACAACAAAAATAAGGTTTTTGTTATGAATTTTTAGAAAAATTCTAAGTAACTGTGTATGGGAGAAAATGCGTGACAGCATATGCAAAAAAAAAAAATCTCAAATCAATGCGAACTCTTAGAGCCACTTGAAGCTTGTACTCTATTAAGCTAGAATTTATTGGGTCAAAATGTCGTGTCCCTATTATTTTTCACATGACTGTACTATGTGCTACATACATACACATACATATAGACGTCATAGTCAAAGGATGATTCAGTGCGTTGTCGGTAAGGATAGCAATAATTTCTGCTTTTTGTTTTTCTCGTATACCTATTTGCCTCTTTCCATACTGCATGGAGAAACAAGTCTTGCAGTGGCCACGTCACGACGATGATACCACTACGGGTGGGTGGCTGCTGAGCAAGTCAGCATCAACACAAAAACATAGATAAACACGCAACGGCGTATAAATGACACTCGAAATGTGTTTCTACTGCGGCAAGCACATTTTTCCCATTCGATTTTATGATTTTATTCCCCTTTTCTTTTGTTTTTTCTTTAATTGTTGTGTAGTAGTGTTTTTTTTCTTTTTTTTTTTTAATTACTTCCTCATCTCTTTGGCGCGCAACTTGTGCGCCTGCTTTTTGTTCTCCGCCATCGCTGCCACCCGCACTCAGTTACCTTGACTGTTGTTTCCATTTGCCGCGCGACAAGCGCCGGAATCTGCCAGCAAAAGTCATTTGCTGCACTCGCTTGCGCGCTCCTCTATATCTATAAATTTCCTCTGATTTCTCCTTTAGTCTGCTTGGCGCTTTGGTGTTCGTCGACAGCCTCGACTTTGACGAGCTTGCACCGAGAACTTGGCATGCAATGGTACGAGTAAGCACGATGAGCGTTAGTGTGTCCGCTCGCTGCTGGACTGCCTGTTAGTCCTTGTTGCCGTCACGCACCAGTGTCTACAGCTCACCTCCCACCGCATGGAGCTACATACATAAATGCACTCGTGCTATGCCGCCACACTCATCGGGCAGTCAACCCAAAAAGAGGCTACCGCGCTCAAATGCTCTGCTCTCAACACAAAACAAACGCCACCGCCCTTACCATAACCGTGATCCATGTTGCTTTTACAGCATTTATGAACTAGGGAATGGCAGAAGGAATGTAGCCGGTTGCCCTCGATCTCTTATCTCATATTGGCTTGGCTGGAATTACACTTTATTTTCGAAATCTGCCACCCAGCCAGTCAGCATACTATTTTTCCCATTTTTTGGCGTTTTTCTTTTTCACCTATCTGGCTCTGCTAACTGCACTAATAACTTTGCTCGCTTGCATATCAACACAAATATCAAAAGTTGTGTCTCTCATGTTTGCGAAAAGTATGAAAAGTACGACACAACGAAAGCGCAAAAAGTGCATAGTTGATTGATTGAAGGACGAACGAACGGAAGGAAGGGATATTTGGTAAATGTGTTAGGCCTCACTGGTGGTACGCCCACCAAACACGCCCGGCAACGGAAATATGTACTTTTCGCCGTGTAATGCAGCGTGATGAAGGTGTCTGGGCAGCACGGAGACAGGGCACAACAGATTTTAGTCTACGTACTGACAAAATATGAAGTTGTTGAAGAATAAATAAACGAGAAGAGTGGAAAAATATTCATCGATTTCTATTCGTTCGTGGTCGCTTGTACGCTCTATGGTCAGGTTAGACAGCAACAACACTGCCATGTGGCAACGGTGGCATCTAATTGTTGATTTGACGTGTTTGATTTTGCACGAGATAAAATCGTTACTTTGTTTCGTTCGTTAAGCTAGCGAAGCTGGTGGTTGAGTGAAAGCTAAGAGGAAGAAATAATATGTAAGTTCATGAACTTTTGAGTGAACAGGATGCAATAAATTGACGGTGATGGAAAATAGTTGTGTACTACATTCTATTATGCGGCAACAGCATGAAACTCACTTTGAGCAATGAAAAATTTTAGTGTCTGAATACAGAACTCAAAATTAAGAAAACCCTTATCATCTACTGGTAAGTGTCTAATTTTTATAATCCTGGTCTAATCCATGTCTAATTCTTACTACTTTCTTAAGTAATCCTTGTTACTTACTTTAGTAAGGATAAGACATGGATTAGATAAGGACTAGAGACATGGAACGCTTAAAAATAATAAGGATTTCGGTTTTTGAGCCTATGGATACAAAAGATATGGAATAAATTAACCGACGAAAACTTGCGTGCCGCTTGCGCTTTTCTCTCAAAGTGTTTACCGTTGGTAAACCCAAATAAAGCTTAAATTTAAAAACTGATAAATTTGGTTAAATCTGTGAAATCTGTGAAAAACTAACTATAAAATACTTTTTTTCGCAACATCTATAAAGGATCCTTTTATTTTCCATAACAAAAAAAGGAAAAAGGTTTTCGTCGCCACTCTGTATACAACTGACAAATCTTTCCTCAGAAAAGTGGACATGCTTCAGTAATTTTAAATGTTTTTGGGTCGCATTGATAAGTGCCATGGGCCACGGGTTGGATAGGCCTAAAGACCTAAGGCAACCGGACGATTAACGCGACAGTCGTTTGGCTACAGTAATTTACATGAGCTAACCGGTAAATCAGAATGGGGGAAGAAGAGACTGCAATTTAATAACCCAATGAATGGGTATGGTTGTTTACATGTACATACTTATGTATGTATGTATGTTATTAAAAAAAAAATATTTATTCGGTCAAAAAATGGTGGGTAGGCACTGTGGCCAATAGTACTCATCAATTACCATCTCTGCGTGCTTATAAGTCATGCAGAGTCCGCAGACACTGTAGACGAGTTGTCCAGAGGATGCGCCAGACTAGGCTGAGCACGCTTTGAGTTGCCATCAACTCATTACTTCAATAAAATAGGCTCTGCTATGTATATGACATTTGGGAAGTGCATATACGAAAATTTCATAAATTGTATAAAGGAAATTGTTGCACATGCAGCTGTCTGTGCTGGCCTTTTTATGCCGTTCGATCGAGAATGTAGTATGCCCATCTTACATCTTTCAGAACCTGCTGTTTGCCGTGTATTGAGGTTATGGTTATGGTGACCAGATTTCTGTGATTAAAAATCGGGATATTTCTAAAGCATCGAATCAAAAAATGCAAATTTGTTTTTAGAATAAAAAGACATAACATATTTTAAATACAGTTTTATTTAAAACTAAAAGGGAAAAAACTTGAAAGACTATCACAAAGATATCTACACACAATATATCGTACACCTTCTTCAAAAGAGGCAAAACTCAAAATGTGGCATTTTTGAAATCATGCTCTAAAAATGTACACAGAGCTTTTACTTACCTTTCAGCAAAAGCTGGAGAACATTTTTTTTTTTATAATTTGTTTAAAAACCTTAAGGTAAACTCTCCCTTGGCCATATGATTGTCATGTGCTAAGAAATAGTTTTTCGCATATTCTAACAAAGGTGTAATTTTGAGTTGTGCTCCTTTTGAAGACGGTGTGCGATATATCTACAGCTTATATTTTTCATATCCATGCATTTTT